GGCGGGCGAGTGGCTGCACCAAGGTCCCAAGCTGTAGCAATTTGGAGTTTGAATATTAATTCAGTGGATTCTTGTCAGACACCGGGTATCCATCATGCCAACAACCATGAGAGCTCCTTTCCCAAAATGGATATTGCTGAATATGTATTGCATGCAAGGTGGGTGCTGTGTTTTATTTATTCGGTTGCACAAATCGGGAGGCTCTTCTGCTCTTGTCCGGTGTGAATGCACAGAATTCGGAGTGCTCTGATTGTGTTCCCATGTTAAGAGCTTCAGGGGGTACCAAGTTAGTCTGGAAACGCTTAAACAGCCTTGTAGTACCTGAGAGAGTAACAAAACATGTAGATGGTGCATTCATCTCAAGTGGGATGGGCCCACAAAAGCTGGTGTAGTGGAGTTAGTCTCAGATTGGAAGGAACAGAGAGAACTCCTCTGTTCATTCCAATCTGAGACTATGGGCTGGCTCCCACACTCCCTTCCACATCCTAACGACTTCTCCTATCAAACAACGGAGGTAACAATTGTTCTTATCAGCCTCTTGAAACAACTTGAACAATTTATTCACTGTCTTTTTTTTTCTCCTTCCCTCATTATTATTAGACAATCTTTCTATTAAACGGTCACCGTTCTTGTTAGGCTGTCATGGGATTTTCAACTCTCTGGGTGTGTCTAGACTACAGGGTTTTGTCGACAAAAGTGGATTTTTGTCGACAACTATACCTGCGTCCACACTACCACTGAGTTCTGTCGACATAACGTCGACAGAACTCAGCAGTTTTGTCGACGCTGGTAAACCTCATTTTACGAGGCATAACGCCTTCTGTTGACAGAGTTTCTGTCGACAGAAGGTGTTATTGCATGTAAACTGTCCTTTGCGTCTACACTACCATGTCAACAAAGCAGCTTGCTTTGTCGACAGAACTCAATGTGTCTAGACGCTCTTTGTCGACAGAAGCCGGTAGTCTAGACGTACCCTCTCTTTTCTGTGCTCATGCCGACACGGCCTGGCTCAGCGCAGCGTGACGTGGCTCCACATGCCGGAAGGCACCGCCACTGTGGCTGACAGCAGGCATGCTCTGCCATGGCCTCTTTCCCCTGCTTCTCTGCGATCCCGGTCCCATTAAAGGGAAGGAAACTGAGCCCAGCACTGCTACATGGGACAACCGCATGTCACTGTGAAAGGAAGGTATTGAGGCCTACCCAGAATGTCAAATGAGCACCAGTTTAATTGTAAGTGTAAAGGAAAGGCAGTATTGTGAGAGACAGGAGATGTAAAATAAAAACAAAATTTGATTGGATGACCAACAATAACCCTGCTTTTAGGGAAGTAACTAACTCAGGCAGCAATATGCAACAAAGTGCTGATTACCCCAAATGGAGCAGACGAAAGTTTTTATAAGGGCGGATGAGACAACAAAAATCTAACATCAGCAAGTGTCAGGCGAGTGAAGGAGTACCAAAATAATGAAACAGGGCATATAAGGTTGGATGGAACAGACCAAGAGCGAACCGGTTGCAAATCCTAAAAGCTAGGTCTGATCAACCAGAGCTCCCTCCCCGGCGCTGAATCTCGCTGCCACACATAAGCTCCGAAAGGGGAACAACACCGGTCGTAAGTTGCAACAAAAAATCCCCAGAAAAAGGAAAAACAAAGAAAAGAATATCTCCTGAATGTAAAATAGTGATAGAAATGTAGCCGTGTTAGTCTGGGGTAGTTGAAGCAAAATGCAGGACAATGTAGCACTTTAAAGACTAACAAGATGGTTTATTAGATGATGAGCTTTCGTGGGCCAGACCCACTTCCTCAGATCAAATAGTGGAAGAAAATAGTCACAACCATATATACCAAAAGATACAATTTAAAAAAATGAACAAATATGAAAAGGACAAATCACATTGCAGAACAGAAGGGGAATGCGGGGGGGTGGGAAGGGGGAGGAAGGAAGGTAAGTGTCTGTGAATTGATGATATTAGAGGTAGGGAGAGTGGGATGTTTGTGAGTTAATGGTATTACAGGTGATAATTGGGGAAACTGTCTTGATAATGGGTGAGAAAGTTCAAAGACTTGTTAAGTCCCTGGTGGTAAGTGTCGAATTTTAACATGAATGACAGTTCAGAGGATTCCCTTTCAAGTGCAGATGTAAAAGGTCTTTGTAGCAGAATGCAGGTGGCTAAGTCATTTAGAGAGTGTCCTTTCTGGTTAAAGTGGCAAGAAACTGTTTTCTCTTTGTGATCTTGTCTGATATCTGTTTTGTGGGCATGAATGTAAGCAATGCTTCCAACTTTCTTAACGTGAGTATTATAGATTTGTTAACTCCATAAATTGTTTAAAGGTAAATCAGGAGGGTAATATTTCTAAGAGAAGATATTTCTTGGGTTTTTTTTAATTGTACTGTTTTTCTACTTTCTTTGTATATTATATTGTCCTAAAAGAATCAAAAATAGTGAATTGATTTAAATGAAAAATTAATTATAAAGTAAATAGAAAAAATAAAAATCTTTGTTTGACCCTAAAAAGAAGTATTCCTCTGTCTGTGGTTTCAAATTCTTTAAAGAACCAAACCCGGTTACCGAAAGTCACAAGTAGGCAGCCAATGGCAGCTGCAGTGGGAGAAATCACAGGGGAATGGGAGACCGCAGGGGAGTAGGAGCATACATCCCCTCCCCCAGCTCCCCATGTGCCCCCTGCAAGCACCACTGTGGGCAAGCCAAGCAGGCCCCCAAACAGGCCCCACGAGGGGGCTGCTGCTTGCCCACAAGCGGGGGGAGGGGAGGGAAGTCTCCCTATTTAGGCAGGCCATGGGATGCAGGGACTGGTACAGGACACCCTGTCAGCCACAAGAAATACTTTGCACCAGCTCAACCATTCGTTGCGCTCAGTCGAGTCCGTTCGCTGGAAGGCGTCAAAATCGATAAAATCGATCCAAACAAATTAATGGGCAACAATGTTTGTCAAATAGTAATAGAGAGGTAGCCGAGTTAGTTTTTAAAGTGCTACATAGTCTGATCTTGCTAAAACAAAAGGAAAACTAACAAGATGGTTTAATAGGGGATGAGCTTCCGTGGGCCAGACCCATTTCTTTAGATCTGAGGAAGTGGGTCTGGCCCACGAAAGCTCATCATCTAATAAACCATCTTGTTAGTCTTTAAAGTGCTACATTGTCCTGCATTTTGCCTGAATGTAAGCAATGCTTCCAACTTTCTTAACGTGAGTATTATAGATTTGTTAACTCCATAAATTGTTTAAAGGTAAATCAGGAGGGTAATATTTCTAAGAGAAGATATTTCTTGGGTTTTTTTTAATTGTACTGTTTTTCTACTTTCTTTGTATATTATATTGTCCTAAAAGAATCAAAAATAGTGAATTGATTTAAATGAAAAATTAATTATAAAGTAAATAGAAAAAATAAAAATCTTTGTTTGACCCTAAAAAGAAGTATTCCTCTGTCTGTGGTTTCAAATTCTTTAAAGAACCAAACCCGGTTACCGAAAGTCACAAGTAGGCAGCCAATGGCAGCTGCAGTGGCAGAAATCACAGGGGAATGGGAGACCGCAGGGGAGTAGGAGCATACATCCCCTCCCCCAGCTCCCCATGTGCCCCCTGCAAGCACCACTGTGGGCAAGCCAAGCAGGCCCCCAAACAGGCCCCACGAGGGGGCTGCTGCTTGCCCACAAGCGGGGGGAGGGGAGGGAAGTCTCCCTATTTAGGCAGGCCATGGGATGCAGGGACTGGTACAGGACACCCTGTCAGCCACAAGAAATACTTTGCACCAGCTCAACCATTCGTTGCGCTCAGTCGAGTCCGTTCGCTGGAAGGCGTCAAAATCGATAAAATCGATCCAAACAAATTAATGGGCAACAATGTTTGTCAAATAGTAATAGAGAGGTAGCCGAGTTAGTTTTTAAAGTGCTACATAGTCTGATCTTGCTAAAACAAAAGGAAAACTAACAAGATGGTTTAATAGGGGATGAGCTTCCGTGGGCCAGACCCATTTCTTTAGATCTGAGGAAGTGGGTCTGGCCCACAAAAAGCTCATCACCTATTAAGCTATCTTGTTAGTCTTTAAAGTGCTACAATGTGTATCAAAGATGCCTTAGGAGAATTACTGCCTTCCTCCCTTTAACCAGCAAAACAATTGAGTGATCACCTCAATTCCTTTATCCTTTCCTGAAACACAACAGCTGATTTTAACAGATACCTACTGCAAAAAACATTTTGTAAAACAGTCTAGCTCAAAATACATAACCATATCAATGAATCATGCAGGTTTTGTTAGTTGAAACACTAGATTTAAGACCAAAAGATAAAAATAAGATATATAAATTGAATCTTTCTAAAAGCATACTAAAAGAATAAAAGTGATAAAAAAGTGCACCAAAAAGTCAAAAATAAACTTTTAAGCTAGCAACATAGGAGAAAGCCATCCAATCTTTCTCCTACATTGCTAGCTTAAAACTGACTTTTTGGTGCATTTTTTATTACTTTTAATCTTTTGGTGTAATTTTAGAACAATTGTCTAAAGTGTTTTGTATTTTATTTATTCTTGGATCTGGACTCTTAGTAATCAAGTCACCTGACAAAGTGGGTTTTGGCCACAAAAGCTCAATATCATCTACATGTTTTGTTAGTCTTGCAGCACTTTAAGCTAACATTTAGATAAACTTAAAAGACAATAAATAGTCTAGTAGCATTTATAAGACTAACTCTGCTACTCCCTGGAGCTTTGAAACACTTAAAAAAACTTTTAAAATAATCTAGTAGTACCCTGAAGACTAGACATTTTTCTGTCTTTATATACTTAAGATAACGTGGGGGAGAATGTTTATAAAAGCCTGATGAACCGCGGGTTTTGCCTATGAAAGCTCACACCACTGCTTTGAGCATCAGTCCACAAGACTTTCTATAAACCCCTTGCTACACCTGGCACCCTTGTCCGTAGCATGTAGTTAAGCTATTCCCCCCCCCCCATCACAGCGTAACAAGCTCTTTCCGTGCAAAGGTGGGTGGCCCTTAAAAGAGCCTTTGGGTTAAAGAAATGCGTCTATCACAATTAGCCTCCGAATCCGTAAAGGGTGCGACCCTGGCGTTTCAGGGCGTACACCACATCCATGGCCGTCACAGTCTTGCGCTTGGCGTGCTCAGTGTAAGTCACCGCGTCGCGGATCACGTTCTCCAGGAAAACTTTCAACACCCCGCGGGTCTCCTCGTAGATCAAGCCGGAGATACGCTTGACACCGCCGCGGCGAGCCAGGCGGCGGATAGCGGGCTTGGTGATACCCTGGATGTTATCCCGGAGAACCTTGCGATGCCGTTTGGCGCCTCCTTTCCCCAGCCCCTTCCCGCCTTTGCCGCGACCAGACATGACAACACGCTGTTTCCTTCACAAACCAATACGTCTGTTTCGTAGCAGTAGAAGCAAGGACTTTAAATAGGCTGAAATCGGACCAGAGGGAAAACCGCGAACGAAACATTTTTTTGAGCCACTGACTTGGCGGGTGATGCTCACTCTCTTCCCACCAATGAGAGGCAGGGGCCCTGGCCCCAGCCTTAAATTCGAAAAAGAGGATTTTGGCGCCGATTTTCGATTCTGCTTTAGAAAAGCAACTGTCGACCCTGGGTGGGGAGTTTTCTTGTCTCCAAAACGTTGGGCGGTAGCGCTTAATAGGTGCAGGCCTTCTAGCAGCTGGGCTTGGCAGCTCCTAGTCCTCACGGCTCTAAGCTTGCTGCATCCTTAATGAATGTGCATGCGCTGTTTGTGTGGCCTTAGCACTTCTTGTACCCTGGGGTGGGTATTTCTCTCTTCTACCGAAGGGATCAGGGAAAGCCAAGCTTGGCTCTGGGATGAGAGATGGATGTTTATAGCCAGGTAGCTGTGCTCACAGTGTGTTTTTCACACACACACACCCCAGAGAAAGCACAGATGTTGTTTCCATCATGGGAAAAATTCCTTGGCTGTGTCTAGACTGGCAAGTTTTTCTGCAAAATCAGATGATTTTGCAGAAAAACTTGCCAGCTGTCTACACTGGCTGCTTGAATTTCTGCAAGAACACTGAAAATTTCATGTAAGATCGTCAGTGTTCTTGCAGAAATACTATGCTGCTCCCGTTCGGGCAGAAGTCTTTTTCCGAAGGACTTTTGCGCGAAAGGGCCGGTGTAGACAGCACAGGACTGTTTTCCGCAAAAAAGCCCCGATCGTGAAAATGGCGATCGGAGCTTTTTTGCAGAAAACCGTGTCTAGATTAGCCATGGACGCTTTTCCGCAAAAAGTGCTTTTGTGGAAAAGCACCCTGCCAATCTAGCCGTGCTTTTCTGAAAATGCTTTTAACGGAAAATTTTTCCGTTAAAAGCATTTTTGGAAAATCATGCCAGTGTAGATGTAGCCCTTGAGTATTGCTAGTCCCACTCTCTTTGGAAGTCAGGAGTGGAGTTCAGCAATAATCATGAGATTGGCTTCAAAAGAATAAGCTCACATTAAAAACAAGAGAGATTTGGGGATTATTTGCCTTCTGCTTTCTGAGGCTTTAGGGTGCCTATGGAGTGTGTCTGCTTTTGAAGCTTCCTCCAGAGCTATGAGTGCTAGAAACCTACTTTTTCATTAAGAATGAAGGCTGAAGCAATCACATTATCCTCTTGACTCCTGCAGCTGGTGCTTCAGGAGAAGACAATAAGCATCTTGAGGCTTCTGACAAAATCCATCTTGGAGAAGGGGGTCCCAGAGCCAACACTCTGTCCCTCTGAATGCCAGCAGCTCTGTGTCAGCCCCTCTTAGCCAGGTCCCTTCTCTGGCCTTTGTCCTGCTTCTGGGGCAAAAAGTGTCACCTGATAGCTTCCCTCCAGTGTTCAGGTTACCAAGGGCACTAGTTTTTGTGTACACCAAAATTCCCATCCCCCTCTAAGTATTGGTGCAGTGCTCAGGGAAACTGAGGCACACACACAGGGTTACCACAGGGCAATAGAAATCAAACGCAACATGACAAGGGGAATGAAACCACCACTTCCTCACGGTCTCTTTCTGGCTTTACCAGTACCTGGCCCAATCAGGGACTCTAGTGCTCCTCCAGTCAGGGGTGCTGACAGCAGTACCATGACTGCAGTGCCAGGCCTCTAAAAGTGAGCGTCTTTCCCCAGAACTTACTGACGGGCCCCTTAAAGCATTGGTGTGGCTGCCCTTTGAGCATCAGGACATGCAAAGGCACACCCATGCCACGGTGCACAGCCAGTCCGTACAGAGCACGGGTTGCCCACGGGCACTGTGTCAGGCCCCCGGCTCCGGTTGAGATGACAGGCCACATCCTGTCAGATTGTTTCTTAACTCGCTGGGTGTGGGGCCTTCTGGCGACCTGATGGTGGCTGCCTAGTTAGTCGAGCATGATGGTTTAGAGGTGGCCGTAGGGTCGTTGGTGGAGGAATGTGGGCCAGTCACGGGGCACTGGTGGCCCCAGCTGCAGCAAGGGTGCCTTCGGCAGGGGCCACCACCTGGTGGACCAATCCCCTGGGACACGCTGCACCTGATCAATGCCATCGTGTCATCTTTGGCAGAGCCACTCCCAAGAGCATCTTCAGCAGCCCCCCCAGTCCTCCGTAGGAGGGGCTAACCCGGGTTTTGCACCCGTTAA